AACAAACTGCCTGGAATATATAGACCATGAACTCATTTTCATGAACTCTGTTTGAATAACTTGACCTTAATCAGTTAATTAACAGTTGTTATAGTCCACATTTAATAGCAATGAATGGGATTTAATTGGTCCTGTTGAACCTTATTTTGTGTGTGTGTGATTTGAGAGATTCATTTTTTTGTAAAATTGTATTGCTTTACAAAAGTGCAAGTGCACTTTACGTTCTGATCTCAAGATATTGCACTTACATTCTAACGTTTAGACTGATCATATCGAGTGTACGAAATATATGTAGTACTAAACATGTAAGTGGAATGGTACCCGGTTTCAGAGCAACCACCCGTCTTTGTCTAGACAATTTTGTCAAACATGATTTCGGGTGACCCCGCCTAACCCTTTAAAACGCTGTAATTTATAGGGTACAATGCTCTATGAAATATTCACATCACTCTCAAAGGAGCGTGAGTCAATACCATAATCGACATTTTGAGAAATGGTAGAACAGTCAAAAGAAAAGGAAATAGGTCAAACATTTATATATCTGAGATAATAAGTTCATCAACCTCAGCTTTATAATAACCTATTTGTTTGTGAATGCTTGTGACAGGGTAGAAATGAACGATATACACAAAGATTTGTGAATGTTAGCGGTTGCCAAACTTTACATGTAGTTTGTGCGAACTTTAATCTGTACGTCTCTGAAACAAGTTTTTTATTATTTGGACGGCGCCGTTTTGAATCTAAGCTTAGGTTTTTGTATAATTGAGACAACAAGATACTTTCAATATAATGTTCTTCTTTTTTTAGTGTGACTAAAAGGTTGAATACCGCTATAAGCCGGTGATAGGGATGTTGCACTTGTTCATGACCCCATTTGAACAATACTAAATCAAGCCGTCTGCAAGTAATTTGGTTGCTCTTTTAATGCTCCAGAGGGTCACCTTTCTCCAGATTTAAATAATTAACTATTTTTAATGAAAAAAAATAAGAACAGACAATTGTTACTTCATCAGCGCGCACAAAAATCAAAGAAATCCACTTACAAAGAAGTCAAATTACAAAAAAAGTAAACGTACATGAATGGGTCAAAATCCCATTACGACATAGACAGTCGCATAGCAAAAATTAGAACATTGTTTGGTCGGAAAGGTCGTTCTGGGGAAAATAAGTAATCACGAACGTGGTCACGACACAACGCAGTGACCTTCTCTTAAAACGAGGGCATGACCTATATATTTTTTACCGGAGTCAACGAACTTCTGTAACTAATATCGTTAATTAAGATCGCCCTGTAGATATTTTGGACATATTGTTAATTAAAATCGTCGACTGTTTGAAGTATACTATTAAAAATGAAATATAGAGTTAAATTTGTTTTAAAATCAACTTTAATGTATTTAAAAAAAATATGTATTGCCCATTATATAAACATATTACCTTGGAGATCTGTAATTGAATTTGATATAATTAGTTTATGCGAAGTAATTTGTTAAGGAAAAGTGAAGAAAGGATGATTTATGGAACTGAATTATTATTATTAATTTCTAAACTCGATTCGAATACTTAACAGAAATTTTATCATATAGTTCAATATGAAAGGGAAACAAATCAGTTAAATCAGGTTAAATAGGACTTATACGGGTTGCCTCCCTTTTTCGCAACACTTCATTGATCAACCACTGTGAAAAACAGACCCTTATTTTGGAAGTTTTAGGGATATTTTGAATAAGGCTCTCTAAATAGGAAAAATGGTCCAACAAGTGTGGTGGGGTAACATTTTTTTTACAAAATTCGAACAACTTGAGTAGAAACAATCATTTTGCATGTGTGATTTGCCTGCTGAATGCTATCATTTGTTTCTTAAAATGATCAAAAGGAAAACATTTTTCATAAGGATGATATTAAAGGTTATTTAGAGTGTCCTCATTTCTGAAAAAAACCTTTTCTTAAGTTCAGAAAAGTTACTATAAATGACTCGTAAACCGTACAGTAAATTTTGTAAAATTTTTGCATATAAGTGGCCTTTAAAGCAAAAAAAATAAATAAATAAAAATACCTGACCTGTATCGTCAATTTTTCAGTTTTGAATAGTACCCATTAGGGGTTCATACCTCAAACCACCCTATATTATCCTTAAATCGTATCCTGTACCCGTACCCCATCCTATCATATCTGAATGTCGTATCGTGTTATAATACCAATAATACTTGTGAGCAAAATCGGTCCGAACTAGCATTTTTATGGAAAATGACTTGGAATGAAAAGCTTGTAATCGCTTTTAACTCAAACCAAACAATCGGACTAAAGTTCACTTTTCAGTTTAGTTCTAATTATGCCCCCATTTCGAAGAAAAGGGGGTATATTGCTTTGCACTTGTCGGTCCGTCGGTCCGTCGGTCCGTAGACCAAATGGTTTCCGAGTGATAACTAAAGAACCCTTAGGCTTAGGAACTTCAAACTTGGTATGGTGATTGGTCATGACCAGTAGATGACCCCTATTGATTTTGGGGTCAAGGGGTCAAAGGTCAAGGTCACATTGACCTTGTAAGCAAAAACGGTTTCCGATCAATAACTAAAGAACCTTCAGGCCTAGGAACTTCAAACTTGGTATGGTGATTGGTCATGATCAGTAGATGACCCCTATTGATTTTGGGGTCAAGGGGTCAAAGGTCAAGGTCACATTGACCTTGTAAGCAATAACGGTTTCCGATCAATAACTAAAGAACTTTAAGGCCTAGGAACTTCAAACTTGGTATGGTGATTGGTCATGATCAGTAGATGACCCCTATTGATTTTAGGGTCAAGGGGTCAAGGTCAAGGTCACATTGACCTCTTGGGTAAAAACGGTTTCTGATCAATAACAAAAGAACCCTTAGGCCTAGGAACTTCAAACTTGGTATGGTGATTGGTAATGACCAGCAGATGACCCCTATTGATTTTGGGGTTAAGGGGTCAAAGGTCAAGGTCACATTGACCTTGTAGGTAAAAACGATTTCCGATCAATAACGAAAGAACCCTTAGGCCTAGGAACTTCAAACTTGGTATGGTGATTGGTCATGACCAGCAGATGACCCCTATTGATTTTGGGGTTAAGGGGTCAAAGGTCACATTGACTTTGTAGGTAAAAACGGTTTCCGATCAATAACGAAAGAACCCTTAGGCCTAGGAACTTCAAACTTGGTATGGTGATTGGTCATGACCAGCAGATGACCCCTATTGATTTTGGGGTTAAGGGGTCAAAGGTCAAGGTCACATTGACCTTGTAGGTAAAAACGATTTCCGATCAATAACGAAAGAACCCTTAGGCCTAGGGACTTCAAACTTGATATGGTGATTGGTCATGATCAGTAGATGACCCCTATTGATTTTGGGGTCAAGGGGTCAAAGGTAAAGGTCACATTGACCTCTTAGGTAAAAACGGTTTCCGATCAATAACTAAAGAACCCTTAGGCCTAGGAACTTCAAACTTGGTATGATTATTGGTCATGACCAGTAGATGACCCCTATTGATATTGGGGTTAAGGGGTCAAAGGGCAAGGTCACATTGACCTTGTAGGTAAAAATGCTTTCAAATCAATAACTTAAGAACCCTTTGGCCTAGGAACTTCAAACATGGTATGGTGATTGGTCATGACCAGCAGATGACCTATTGATTTTGGGGTCAAGGGGTCAAAGGTCAAGGTCACATTGACCTTGTATGTTAAAACGGTTTCCGATCAATTAACTAAAAACGCTTAGGCCTTGGAACTTCAAACTTTGTATGATGATTGGTCGTGACCAGCAGATGACCCCTATTGAGTTTTGGGTCAAGGGGTTAAAGGTTAAGGTCATGACCAGTAGATACTTGATAACCCTTATTAATTGTTTGATCACTGGGTCAGAAGTCATAATAACCTTATCACATGACTAATTGGCTGCTGATAGGGGGCATACATGTTTTACAAACATATCTTGTTATATTTCTTAATTATCGTTTTCGTATTTCCTCTTTTTAAATGCTCCATTTGATCCACATGTATGTTACATTTTAGAATTTCATGCTTTAGGTTTTTGGACCTCAGAGGAACTCCTGTAAGTGAAGTTTCTGACGAGAGATTTTAAAGATCTCATTTAAAGCCGTTTTAGCTCATGTGACCTACTTATGCACCCGACTGAAACCATTAATATATTACTTCAAAGAGTCACCTTCATTCCTGTGAAGTTTGATCAAAATCTACTCAGTGGTTTAGAATAAGATGTTGCAGAAATTTCGGATTACTGCGGACGGCGGACAAATTGCCATTACAAAAAGATGAAATACAAATGTATGTGACATGACTCGCATTTAAAAATGTTGTGGTGGTCACAATGATTGGTTAATGCATCGTGTGCCCTCCTCCTTAGTATGTCGATCTCATCTAGGATTTGGATATCAACTTACATGTTTTAGAAATTCACTTTAACAGTAGTGCATATCGCACAGAAGCTTGAGTTCTGAACCCCACTTGCAAGCAAGTAAAATGCGAACCCCACTCTGGAATATGCATTAAATACCCTTTGCCAAAATTTTGCGACCCATTTAGTAAATATTTGATTCGACCACTCTATTTTTGCATTGCCACCTGATTTTACAAGAATCTGGTCCTTAAAACCACTTAATTATATGGTTGATGTTTAAGCTCATCGGAGAGAATGACTATTTGGGCATAACAAACATGCTTTATGCTTGCTTATTTAAAATGCATTGTCCGTTGTTCATATACACATTCATCTGAAAAGTAAAAGCAGTTGAGTTAGAAGTCAGTTCCACAATAAATTTTACCTGAAGATGACTCCTATTATGTTTGTTGTTATTTTTTTCTGATGAGATTGGCTTGCCTTCTTAAATTCCTGATTATTTTTTATTTATTTATTAATTTATAATCATTATACATGTATTTAATTTTCGAGAGGAAAGGGGAATTGGTAATGGGGAAGGGGGCGGGGAGCATTAATTGAAGCCTTTATGAAGAATAATCGTCACGGTCCTAAAGATAGGAGACCTTTTCAGGTTCGCTTTCATAAGATAACAAATTAGTTCGTGACTATATATGGAACAGGGAAGAATCATGTATAAAATATGTTCAATATTCTTTATTGCAGGTAAGTCTATATTTCCTCTTTTAGTCCATGGTCATTTAACTATGTTTGTAACAAATAATGAATAAAATGCTCTACAAATATATTCAATGATATGAGCAATGGTATTGTTACGCAAGTAAAAAAAACACACACACAAGAACGTTAGGTTTTTTAAGAACTGGGTAATGATTTAATGATGCTGCAAGGCACTTCTTTTGCCAATTTTATATTCATTCGATATTGGCCGTACAAGAATATGGCCAATATATAGCTCAAACCCGGGCCCTAGTTGTATTTTAGCTGATTTGGCACAGGGGGGCCTCTGGTAGTGGAATTTACGTTGAACTGAAGGAGAATTGGACACGTGTCTGTTATTTTCTTTTGCTTTCGACGTTTTGTTATTGTTATTTTCAGGGGGTTTTGATATGGGGAGTAAGATTGATTTATTTGTTTTCATCTTTTTGAATTCTGATGATCACATAACATGCAACTCTGTAATGAAGTTAATGATTCAAAGAGAGACAACTGCAAAGTGTATAGTCATATTAATTGTGCGCTGTTTATTCCCCTTAGCTTCCGGTTTAGTAATATGCTCAATTATTATTGCTAAATGTGTCGTCGGCTGTTATACACATGTACAGAAATGTATTAAAGGTGTTTAAAGGCCCATTATGCCTCAGGTTTGATTTTATTTTTCGTACAAAAGCTTTAAAATGTTGGTTCACTTTTACAGTATCCAAAAAGTTACTCATTGGCAAATTACCTCAACCATCTTTTTCCTCTGTGGCTAGAGTTTTCATGAATAAGTATTTTGTGCTACTTTGTTTACATTTTACTACTTTTACGAAGTATTATTTCACATTTGTGGCTTTTTCATCAGGTAACAAGAATCAATTAGTCTATAAAAACATTATTGAAACATTATAAAATTAATGTTTTCCCTTTCTAAAGAAGAAAAAAATCTATTTGTTTCTGAGGCATAAGGTGCCTTTAACAAAGAACCGGATTTCTCTTTTCTTTTCGTCAAGTTTCGATCAAGATAGTTGATGAATCAGAAGGTTGTCAGTTGGTAAACTTGTGTTCTCTTCAAAATGACATCGAGCCATTACGAAAAGTGACGGACGAAAACTTGTGATATGCAGAAACACGGAGCTTTGCAGAGATACCTTAATTTTTTCAATGTTTTTTTTTCAATGTCCAATTAGAATTTATTAACATTTGGAGTAGTGAAACCATGTAAGTTTTAAAGATATTACCATACTAAATATTTTAACAGGTTTTATTTCTTGCGTCCATGCGTCTGTTTCTAATGGCGAACTGTCTGATTTTATGGCAACGATTTGGAATGGGGACACTAATGCAGCAACTAACGTCAGGGTCAACCTCCAGGGTCATACTTACACCGGCTCGACGTCGGACAAGGCTTCAAGCAGGTCAGTTATTATTCTGCAAAATTTGATATGTATGAATGGAATGTAATTTTTAGAAATGGCGATAAACTGCTATGCAACAATTACTGTGTCATATGACTTCCGTCTTTAGATTGATTGATATTACAATAGCATACATTCTTAGTTAAAATAAGGTCTTTTAGGTCTTAAATAAAATTTTGTGACATTACTTCTACAATAATTTATATAGATACTAGTATCGAGCTTGAGTATTCGGAAAATACACTCATTACGTGTAGTTCACAAATTTTTGGTGATTTAGTCACTTTTCGGGGTTTTTTTCTCGGACAAGAGTCTATGGGACCATGAGCAAACGATAATCGATAATCTGACCCTTTGAAAGCTTTCTATAACAATTGGCATATTTTCCGTAACTTTTTTAAAATCAAAGCACAGAAGGCGCTGAATTTGTTTGGGTCTCAGAATGTCAGAAAGGTGAAGGTTGTGAGATTATAAACCAATTTGTTTTTGTAAAGTGCAACCAGTGCTGTTTCCAGTGTTATTACCGTAGTAAATTGGCTATAAGGCTAATTGCAACACTGATATTCAATTCAATGTTTATTTGACTTTATGAAAATTAGTTGCCGTAACTGGGATTTGAACTCCAGACCTCTCGCTTCCTAAACGAGCGTGTAACCCCTCGGCCACGGGGAAGTTTTAAGATATTGGTCTGAAGAAAACCATTTTGTTCTAAATTTGGGTTTGTGTAACCCTTATTAATTTCGAGATACTTTGTTCACGGCAAATCTGTTGTTAAACACTCATGTAAATAATCATGGAGCTTAATATAAGCATGTTTATCTGTATAGTAGAAATATTCGACCAATCGGGAACTAATTTTTCATCCCTGAGAAGGCTTGAATATGAATGCGCCTGTCATTCGACAACCTTTACGCAGTGATATCCCCTTAATTTTTCGGCGTTAATGTACTTATAAAGGGAAGTAACCGCTTCGAGGAGTTTGGACTACTTTCGGATTTTGCAAATTAGCATATCAGGGTATGAAATTTCGCTACCATTATTTGTTTGGTCTGACGACTCAAACAAATAAAAATAATAAAAACAATAAATTGGATATTCTTACATAATAATTCTTATAAAATAATTCTTGATAAAATATGTTATTGGAGTTTTAGTTGGTTTTGTATATATGGGCATCTATATGATAAATAATAATATTTTGTTCAAGAACAAATTATTAGCTGCTATGTAAAGATAAGTCATATAAGATCATGTCTCTCACACTTACCAACACCATCCACGTAATTATATAAATATTTCGTGATTTCATATCAACTTTGGTAATACATTCTATCATCACAATTATTTGTGGAATTACGGACTTGCCATTACGGACTATTCCACTTTAAATAACTAATTGTAAGCTTTTGAAAATTTGTCATTAAATTATAATTGCGTTCGTTTGATGGAAGAAATTTAATGATAGAGAAACTTGCAAAATTGCTTTTGGTAGTAATTGACACAAGTACATGTAGTCCTGTCTTGACCCCCCAAGTGACCTCCACGTGAAAAAACATGTACTGTATGCCAATTCTACATTTTGTGCATTTTGTAGAATGGCAGAAATATGAAAATACTTGAAAACATAATCATGTTTTCTCTGTATCTATACGAATTAAGTCAGGAAACCGCAAAATGAAACATTTATGAAAGATTCACATGAACGCCATTTTCAGTTTATAGCTAACAATTTATAATGTCAGTTTACTTTGCAGAAGTTATTGTTAGACTGCGTCAAAAGGATTTGTATTAATTTTGAAAATTAATTTACTTTTGAACATTGCTTTCTTTATTTACTTTAATTTCAGTTTATTTAGCTACGTGAACGACTATTATTACTTTAGTCGTCCAACATATGCTGCATTGATTCGGCTCCTTGACAACTATAATCACGTGGTGGGTGGGGCAGAGCATTCTAACAGCGAAGAGGTGCATGAAATTGCAACATTTTTGGACGCCATTTCGAAAACAACAGTCATGCAGAAAACTTTGCAATTTCTGCACCAACACGGTACGTATTGCGACAATCGCAACTTTTCGGCCCTTTCCGTCAGTCAATCGCCACTTTTCGACTCTTTCAGTCAGTCGTCGGATATAAATAATAGCCGAGACTGTTGACGGAGGAATACCTCGGGTTCCCTCCAGTGATTTATATCAAGCACAAATGGGTACAATGAGTTGAACCACCGGCGTTCCGTAAGCTTGTTTGAAAACTTCCTCATGCGAAAGAATCCAAAGTCCCTGTAGGGGTTCGAACCCATTACGGTGAGAGACACGTGGCTTGAAGTCAACGCACTTAACCACTCGACAACGGACGGCAATCAATTTCATAATGTTAGTCTATCCAAATTATCACCTAACTCTAGTGATAGATTTCCGCCTTATGTACATCGAAATATTTTGAACTAGAGAATCGTATTTGGTCTGTTTAATCCTGTTCCATGCCATTGATAAATAGCTGCTTGTCTCGAACGCAGAACATTTGGCCAATCGCAACTACTCGGCCCTTTCCGTCATTCTTCGGATTATAGATAATAGCCGAGGCAGTTCCGATTGGCATTTGGCATGATTTTCAAATCACATTACTTCCGGTTCCGTTTTGGACCTTAGCAGGGTGTGGAAAGAAAATAAATTTCTATTTTGTAATGAAAGGTTATGTTGGAACAACATGGAGCTCACTCGAAACCCAATTACGTCACATTTGGTTTGACACCTATCCTCGCCATGGCCACGTGTTTGATAGTTCCGGTTTTGAGCACGTGTTCGTGGGAGAGACCGACTCAACGGAAGTTGTAGGATTTCATAACTGGATCCAGTTCCATTTACAAGAGGAAAAGGGAAATCTCGACTACATGGGATATATCTTCTCTAAGCAGGTTTATTATTGGTTCCTTATTTTTTTGTTATCTAGTATGCAACCAACTACATGTATAGTATATACATATACAGTACTCATATAAAAAGATTGTTGTTTTTCGTTCTAACAAATTAATTTAAGATAATTATTATGTCTGATGTCAAAAGAATGTTTCCTTAAATGAAATATTTTTCTGCCAAATGACTTTATCTAGAGTAATATTCATGTCAGCACAGTCAATAAATGTATATAAATTAAACATTTTCTATTTTATTTCCAGCCAAATATTTTGGGCACACATTTCAGATGGTTGTCAAAAACAAAATCGTTGGGTTCTTTTATGTATGGCACCAGTCCAGAGTTTGATATTGCAATGTTCACAGTCTGCTTTTTCGCGCGGAGGAATCAGAAATGCAATTTTTCCGTTAATGGACACAATATTCAAGTTCAGACTTATGACATCAACCATGGCGGAGGAATTCACCTAGGGACTGCTTATCTTTGATTGACCAATCAAATTGTTTGTTATTAAAGTTAATAAATATCTGTATTTTCAAAAAAAAATGTATTTCTTGAAGTTCATTATGTCAAGAACGTGTAGTGACATTATATTCGTAGATTATGCTTGTTTATTCATGACAAAATGTTAATTCGTTTTATTTTGTTCTGATTTCCAGTAAGCAATTTACAGAAGAGATACGGAAAGAGAAATTACAGGAATGTCCTTCATTCATGGATTGTATGTAACACTCACGATCATTCCTGCGGGCTTGAAAAACTCAAGTTATGCAACTCACCAGGATAGCGCACATGTGCTTTTTTCATACTATAAAACTTATGTTTAAGGCAAGCCTTAAATTTTTCTTTGTTTGCTAGTTTGGGTAAGCCCATATTTTTAAAACATTTTTTTAATCCAAAATATTTTTTTTTTTTTTTGCTATCAAAATTGTATGGCGTTCAAAACAAATAATGAATGTTAAGCACCTGTTTAAAGATGGTAACCATATTTTCTGTTGTTTTTTTATACTACAAATATCCCAACATTTGTATATTTACAATTAAAAAAACAACAACATAAGACAGATACAAAGATGTGATTCTCATTGACACTCTTATTCTATGTTTATTTAAAAAAATGCTAGGCAATGAACGTTTTTGGTTAATAGGTAGCAGGAGGGGAAGCAAACAATATTTGAGCCGTGTCACGACAAACCAACATAATGGGTTTGCGACCAGCATGGATCCAGACCAGCCTGCGCATCCGCGCAGTCTGATCAGGATCCATGCTGTTCGCTATCAGTTTCTCTACGCGTATAGGGTTTGTAAGCGAACAGCATGGATCCTGATCAGACTGCGCGGATGCGCAGGCTGGTCTGGATCCATGCTGGTCGCAAACCCATTATGTTGGTTTTGTCGTGACACGGCTCATTTTATTCTTGGCCTATTTTTTTACGATTTTATAGCTAAAATATTGACTAAGGACAAAGAATTATTGGATTTTTTAGGTAAAAAAATGTATCTGTAAAACTGTTGTTGAAATGGAAACTGTTGAAATTAATCGAACCTTATCTCCTGCTGAAAATCAATGTGACAGGCCTTTCACAAACCACTTTCTTAAAATCAGTAATGCATTCCGTAACATTTTTCCAAAATTGTTTGAAAGGAAATATATTTTTAGATGAAACGTGTATCTATAAAATTGTGTTGTTGAAAAGAAAAAATGTTGAAATTAATCGTACCTTATGACCTAAGACTGAAAATCAAAGTGATTGGCCTATCACAAACCACTTTCTTATAATTAGTTAAATGTATTCCGTAACAATTTTCCAAAATTGTTTGAAAGGAAATGCATTAGACTACCCCTCGATTACAGAGTCCGTTAATGGATAAAAGTATGCTGCAAGCATTTGAATAAGAAGAAGCACGCCTCCAGATTCATGTGAATTTTCATGAAAACTTTGGAAATATATTTAAAAGTAAAATATTGTGAGATGAACAAATAAAGTAATTTATATTTTGCAATCGGCACTTACAATCCAAGAAAATTACCAAAAAGTCGCCAACATATGCAAAAATAGCCCTTACTGTAAGTATCGCTATAGAAATATGGTAATAAAATACTGCAAAATCATGAAAAAATATAACTTGGATCTTGAATGTTTTTACTTTCCTTAAAATTTTAGTACATTTTTCTTCATATTGATTTTCTTGACATATTTTGGCATGCAGCTTTAATGGATAATAGTAATGCTGCAAACAATGGTTACGTCCGACGTGAATTAAAGCGAAACACTTTAAAAAAATACAAATCTACACTAGCTAACTCAAAGATGGACACCGATATTCACGCTTATACAGGAGATTTTGAAAAAATGAATGGTTTAAAATTTTATTGAATAATTTATAATAAAGTGTCCTCTCAAATTCAAACGATTACATTACAAGATAATGATTACCTTGAAAATGAGGACTAAAAGACGGGTAATAAATAGTAAGAAAGTTAGAAAATACGAGCAAAATATTATCATGGTGAATCGTTGCTTAATTAATCATTTCCCCCTTCACTGACATCCCGACGTCGCCTCTTTTTAAACAAATAAAAATCAACGTATTTACAATATTACTAGCTTTAATACTAAAACTTATATTACTGATATAGTTTCCAGACACATTAAAGTATTTCAATCAACAAGGAAATTACGCGAAATTTCAAATCTTGACGGGAAAAAGAAAAGCTAAAGTGTAGGCAACTGAAGACTCGTGGGAATACATCGACTTTTAACCTCACAAAGAAAAATATATGTCAAATATAATACGATGATGTAAGTGCGTTTTTTCTAAGATTTAATGGTTTTGTTGTTTGTTAAAATAAGACCAGGCTGTATGTTGTGTATGGTTGTTTATTTTTCATTAAGTGCGAGCTTTATCACTACACATATTACAATGCTCCGTCTATATAGATTCCACCTATATCGAATCCTTCTATATCGAATAAATATCTGATTCGTTTATATCGAATAGATCTATAGCGGATCCCTTTAAATCGCATTTAGATTTTACACAGAAATACGGAATGGAAATGATCTTAGAATTATTTTAGTTAAAATAATCGACTTCTTTGTTAAATGATCAAATTATTTATTGTGTATATTTTAGTTTATTTACTACTGAATCAACTATTTGCTTTGGAAGAAAGACAGAAAAGGAGGCGTTTGAGCAATATGGAATATACGAATGAGTAGAAATCTACAGCGTTCTGGCTTTTAACTGGCTTTTAACGGTAACAAAAGATATGAAAACAAATGACATTGTAATTAAAAGATGAAAATATCAATACTAAATTATTTTTTTTAACTCCATTCTCCTAATAACAAAGAAATAGTTGAATTATTTAGTTGCGATTTATTTCAACAGTCAACTGGATTTTTTTTTCATAATTAGAATTGAAAGATAGATTTATGCATGCTACATCTAAAAAACAATTAAGAGCCAAAATTAAGATAGAAATACCATTTAAAGGACACTTTACGGAGGTTAACCTAATTTAATTGAGATATTTCAAATACAAGCCAAAAGAGGAATTTTGGTCTTGAAACATTCATTTACACTCATGTCAAAAGCCAGTAGATTGCATGTTTTTGGAATTCTAGATTTCCTTAAAACATTTATTACGTTTTATGTAGCTTTAGATGTTTATTATATATTAAGATATTACCTTGTCTGGTCAGAAAAAAATCCATCATGTCAATAATACACAATATACAAAAATGTAAATACACTGTATTTTACATAGAACAACTTGGACACTTAAAACAAAAAGAAAATTAAGAAATATTCTCAGGAATTAATTGAAAATTGTATTTTTGTACTGTTCTTAGCTCGATTTGAGTGAAAAGCGTTATAACGCTTTTTTTAATTTTGGGTAATTTTTCGCAATTAGAAATACCATTCAGGAAAAAACGAACTGAGCGAATTATCTTACAAGTTATTAGTCTAGACCTACAAAAATATTTCTAGTCCCGTCGTGTCTAAAATCCGTAGTGGAGTTCCTTTAATATTTTCTTAAATTCATGAAAATTTGAAAATGAAAAATGACCAATGAAAATCAGTCCATCACAGATAATCAAATAGGAATGGTACTGCATGCCACTCAATAAAGCCCTATTGTTTTTTTTTACTTATCATTTAGTCATACCGTACGGTTAGCTCAATAGGCAGAGCGTTGGACTGTGAATTGGGCGATCGGGGTTCGATTCCCGGACGGTGTAGGTCACTGCATGTCCAGGACAATGCGGTGTCTGAATAGTGCTCTGGTAAATTCAATGTGGCTTACTGTCGTGATCCGGAGTGATAACTATCACCATCACTTATCATTTAACCAAATAGTTTTGTTAGTCTGGCCTCATTTTCATCGTATAAAACAGGTTGACCTTTCGCAGCAGCGTTTCTTTGATGAATGAGAGTCATGGCGGTGTTTCTTCATTATTTTTGGTTCATGCTCGCCTTTCTACAATTGAGCGAAGGTAAGATATTTTATTTGATCATATTTTGAAAACCTCTAAAAATGTTTTGTTTGATTTCATCCACATGATAATCATGAATGCATTATATAACACTTATCTAAAGCTGCATGCCTCCAGATGAGCCCAAACTATTTATAGAAAATAAAACTGTTGAAAAATGTACTAAGCTTTTAAGACAAGTAAAAAAAGATTTAAGATTCAAGTAATAACTTACGTATTATGTGCGATTAATGAAAGATTTTGCAGTATTTATCATCATTATTATTTACTTTGTTAACTTCACAATATTTTACTTTCATATACTTTTTTAAAAAATTTAATGTTGATGAACAATATCATGAATATGTTTTAGATATTCAAGCTGTTTTAAATATTCGGCCCTAGTTCGGTTCTGTTCGTGCATTTATATGATAAATTATATGAAATATATTATAAATGTTTTGAAAAGTAACGTTAGCTTAAAGTATACTGTTATCTTTACAAAATGCATTCCACAATTCTATAATTACAAATTTTATACTTAAACACATATGTCACATATAATTCTGTCAACAAGGAACTTCATTATATATTTTTAAGCCAAAAAGAAGGCTTTGCAAAAAATATATTTTTGATAATTTGTATTGTTTGGTTTTATTAACCTGTCAATTACATACTGATAACACGGTCGATGCACACAGTATATTAATCTTCGGTAGATGTTCGGTAAGTTCCGTGAGATGTACGCTGTACGATGGAATTTAATTTAATTTGTATCTTTAAACTAAGTGTACTCAGCGTTATAGCGCAATAGGGTAAATCACGAGTTTATAATCTAAGTGCCACACGTGTTTTAGGTTCGAGGCCGCGTTGGTCCATGTTTTTTTCTTATTAATACTTTCAACATTATTGAATCTATATATGATTATTTTATGTTGTTCGTTTTTTATTATGTTTTACTTAATTTTGTTATGTATATACTCTTTTTAAATAACATGTTTTTTAAGAATTCATGTTTAAAATGAAAACGGATTAAAATCAATAAATGTCTTTTTAATGCCGTAAAACACACTACAAATCTGTTCCATTAAAATATACTGCAAAAATAAAGAAAGAGTACTAAATATACTGCAAAAATAAAGAAAGAGTACTAAAACAATGGCAACAGTCAGGATCGAACCACAGACCTCTCAATTATCAGGCATTCTCTTTACCGACTGTCCTATTGTTAAATTAACGAAAACCTTCACATTCAGCTGACGTGACTTTCAATCCATGACTAATATACTCCGCATTAATTCTCGTAAACTACACGGACCAAACCGAAGTGGGATCGAATATTTAAATGAGTCCTATGATGTATTCATAATTGACAGGTCAATAAAATCAGACTATAGTTCTAGCTTTACAAACATAAGAAATGATATTTTGACAAAAAAGAAAAATTCTACGTCTTAAGGAAGGTATCTAAATAATTCTGAAAAAAAAAATGCTTTAATTTTTCTCTCTCAAAAATGTAAATTGAACAGATATTAAATTGTATTGAATTCTAACATTGGAAAAATAGTTGAAACTCTATGTTTAGATATTTTTTTCCAATTTAATGTAGAAGACATTTAAGATTTGCAATTTAGATGCAAAATATTTAAGAATAATGTATTTTAATCAACTTTGTATTTGCAAATGAAGAATGATAATTAAAAGACAACATTAGATATTTTATTGGGTTTTTTTTACTTTGCTGTACAATAGAGCATGATGGAGTTACTATGGCAATATTAACAAAAATGGAAATTGTTGCGAAATTAATTATGTCATTATTAATTATAGCCCAATTATTCTCAGTTTTAAATCGATGAAATAGTGATCCATTTAGTATGCAGAGGTTAACGCTTGGTCTAGATATGGGGGCCTCCGTGGCCGAGTGGTTAAGGTCGCTGACTTAAGATCACAGGTCCCTCACCGCTGTAGATTCGATCCTGACTCGGGTCAAAATCTTTCATGTGAGGAAGCCACCCAGCTGGCGAAGCCACCCAGCTGGCTAACAGAAGGTCGGTGGTTCTACCAAGATGCTCGCTCGTGTCTGAAATAATGCCCGGAGGGGCACTTATAAAGCTTGAAATAAATCGACGAAAAAAATCTCGGCGGGACGCTCTAGGATGGCCCGACTTGTGTGTACGGTCGCCCATATGGGCTTTCCGGCAGCAACCTTAAATAAACGCATTAAAAAATGTCTAAATTTACCAGTAGGTCGACTTCTTAGGAGTTGGTGGTGGCCAACACCACCAAGAAATTTTACTTTAGTTAGAGGTGTGTTTTGGCTATACATGATAATTATATACATAATATAATAAATATGTCCAAGAGATCAAATAGATAGTTGAGCCGCGTCACGACAAAACCAACATAATGGGTTTGCGACCAGCATGGATCCAGACCAGTCTGCGCATCTGCGCAGTCTGATCAGGATCCATGCTGTTTGCTATCAGTTTCTCTATTTGTAATAGAGTTTGTAAAACACAGCATGGGTCCTGATCAGACTGTGCGGATGCGCTGGCTGGTCTGGATCCATGCTGGTCGCAAACCCATTATGTTGGTTTTGTCGTGACGCGGCTCAATTTTTTTCTAGAAAATAAAAGTGAAGTCGTGACTTATGAGGGTTATTGACACATGAGCTAGTGCTAGATAATGTGTTCAATATGAAAATTAGGCTGTTTAATGCAAAAAAAAGTAATTTATTGTACATTATGAGCATGATAAAGTAAAGCACCTTATATCTTGTATATTTTTATAAAGGACAATTATGTCTAAGAAATGCTAATCTTGTTATTTTTGTAAACATCTGTTATTTTTTGTACCTTTAAACGTTTAAAAAAAAAACAATAAAAAAAAACCCCGCCTCATTTTCCATATACATGTAGCTTAATTTTGTACTTTAAAATATATTTTAGTTTTAAGTGATGTTTGTTTGTTTTCTTGTAATATTACATGCACATTATATCATATATATAGCAATGAACATATTGTATGTTTTGCTGAATAAACTCTTGAAACCTGAAAACTGCCCATTCAGCACAATTTTTCTCCAGTTCTTAAACATCAAATATGCTCTAAATATCTGGAAAAAAGCGATCCCTCGGAAGCATTATAAACAGCAAGATTACATAAAAATTGCAGACTCGGTTTGATTGAGCCTGTACATGAGGGATTATGAAACAGTGCAATATCCCTCACGCCCCCTATCACCGGCTTTAGCGGCACTCAATTTTCAGCACTTAAACATTATTAAACATATGTTTTGGCATTTCTAAAGAATTTAGTAGATATGGATTTTTGAGACATAGTGTACCTTTAACTTTTCAATTTCAGTTACATTGTATACTTGATCGTGAATAAAACGTGAAATACAATGAATATTGTTGTTCATTATATCTTTTTAATACAGGATTGATTACAATTTTAGTCACTGAATCTCTTCTTAATTCAGGAAAGGGAAGCTCAAATGACGAGGCAACCCTGAGAAATGCAATCTTTTCTGACTACGATAAATATATGGCACCAGTTGGGGATGACGATGGACCTGTTGTTGTCAAGCAATCACTACATTTTGTTAAAGTGGTCTCCCTGGTAACTATGAAAACACTATGATTGATATAATTATTATATTATGGTATATCTTTATTATTAAAAAGCATTACTAGCAGCGGCTTATTTCTAAATCACAAAGAAACAAGAAATTTCAAATTATCACAGTAATACTAGATTTGCCCTGCCACGTGAACTAAATGATTTTCCACATGTATGTTCAAAGTATGTGTATATTAAAACCTTATTTTGCGAAATCGCAAGGGCTATAGCTTAGATAGTTGGTATGCAATATTTACTTATGAGTTTCTACCAAATTGTTTTTTAAATTAAAAGCCTAGGATGAAATTGTTCTTTCCCAGGACTCACTTGTTTTCCTATAGTTTAAAACTTAACAACTCATCCCCTCTATAGCTTTAGCACAGATATTTGGCATGAAACATTGTCTAGTTGACCTATTACAAGTTTGTTCAAAATGATATCACTGGTATCAAAATTAGCCCCCTAACACGCGAGATCATAACCCAGTGACATTTGTTTTGTATTAAAATGTACAGATTTTTGGACTAAATGCACTTTAGCAGAGGCAAAATTTAATTCTGATATCAGTTGACCTACAGCTATAAAATTTGGAATTTGCTAACAGTTTCCAGTGTAGTTTTTAAAATAGATATCAATTGACTTTAGCTCATCTGAACGTTATCTATTCTGTAACAGACAGTGTTTGGTAAGCGATATAAGGCATTTTGGCGCTCTTGCTTATTACTAAGATAACGTATTGTTGTAAGAGCTTTGTAATTAAAGTAATGCCGTGAGAGATTTGATAAAGTTAATCACATCTTAGTGAGATGAAGTAATGCCGTGAAAGATTTGATAAAATTTATCACATTTTAGTGAGAGAAAGTAATGCCTTGAGAGATTTGATATAAAGTTTATTACATTTTAGTGAGATAAAGTAATGCCGTGAGAGATTTGATCAAATTTATCACATTTTAGTGAGGTAATGTAATGGCGTGAAATGAGATTATCTTTATCAGATAATGCAATACACAAGATACAACAGCTCTTAGAGATATATGGTACATTGATAATGTCGTGAACCACGTGAAGTGATGTCACGGATATGTCGGCAAATTTTGATCCGCAGCGGCAACATTGGTAGATTCAGTTGTCGCCAGTAGGCTAAGGGTTCAATAAAAGTTATCAAATTTGTCACCATTAGCGACAATTAATTACTGGAATAAATAGTCTTTTCTACAGACTTTTCAGCATTGAAGGGACATTTAATTTTTCTGTTTCAGGACAATGACGTTTTAATAATGCAAGTTTGGGAATTCATGAAATGGAGGGATACTCGATTGCAATGGGACCTTAACACTTTCAACATCAAGTACATTAACGGTGCGAGTAAATGGGTGTGGCAACCGGATATCTTGTTAGTTGATAGGTAAGTCTTTCCACAGACAGGCCATTGTATTAATTTCATTACCTTTTTTAAGTCTTTTAAAAAAATATGATAGACTAATTTTGGTTATTTAAGCAAACTAAGTGGGCAATAAGGAAAAATGAAACTCTAGGTAAAAAAGGAGTTAAGAAAGGAGCGCTTGAACTCCAGACGCTTGGACATTTAATCTGACAGGAAGTAGTTTTAACATTACTACCGGAATCGTAGTTTGGTTCCCGGTCGTTACTTTTGCTACGTACAAAGTATCGATAACGATAGTGGTAAGGGGCAGGTATCCAGACTACCGCCCGGAATCGAGGGAAAGCAAGGCCACCCGCGTGGAAGGCGATAAAAGTGGTCTGTATAGACAAGTGATATTTTATCTAGGACGCCTGTTTGTTTCAATTAAGCAATTAAGGGTTATCAAAAACTGTCCTTTTTTGCAGTGTTATCTTTATTCAGAGGTGGTTTTTAACCCAGGTTTCACTGTATGTACAATACCGGTATTGAATATTATATTATGGATTGACTATCTACAAAGGTCAATTTACGAGTACTAATTGTATGTCACATTGTGATGGTAATGATGGATTATTATTGTTATTATTATTATCATAAATTATCATTATTATTATCAACCTTTTACCCCATGGCATATTGTGAAAAAATGGCCAATTTTCATTGTAAAGCCTCCTGTAACAAGTTCAAACTGCTATGAAAACTAATGAAAAATGCTTCAATACTGATGAAACTTGGCATAAATATTTTACTGAACAATAGCCTCTGTAACAGCGTGCTCAAATTGTAAATTTTCTGTTACCCATGGCAACGGGCCGTTTAAATTGCGCAAAAAATCACTTTTTGCATTGTTTCTTTAACATCAAAACTGATTTCAAAGTGCTGCAACTTCTCAATGAATTGAGATAGAGTAAAAGCTTTAAGCATCGGATACTAGTTACCGTATGATCGAACCTGAGGTAATTTTTAGCCTGTCACATGTCCAAAATTTTCTTGGCGATGAGGGGGATACCGGCCCCCTTCAATCCCCCAAAACAGAGGGGGGACACATCCCCTTCTAGCAACCCCTGATGTACTATTTTGATGGGTGGCGCCCGCCGTAAAAAGTGGTCATTTTTTTAACAACATTTTCTCAAACGAAAAACAGTGTTTTTGTTCTAAATAGGGCATTTTCCCTCAAAAAGGGTGGGGGGGGGGGGGCTAATGCCGTCAAAAACGTCTATATGTAGGTAAGCAGGTTAATATGAATTAGGCAATATTAAGGCTCTATTAACTGGGTGAAGTCGTTAAAATAAATAGTTAATTTTTCCGGTTCGGTTAATTAATAACACGGGGGAGGAAGTGTACACGAAGAATGGAGGTTCTTATGATAACTTTGTTCAGGAGTTCTTGTGATAACTGTCATCGGAGTTGTCGGAAAACTCTGTATATACTACGGAATTCTCGTTAAAAAAATGGTTTATTTTTCATCTTTCCAAAATGAGTTTTTATGGTGGCTAATAAAACTTTAATGATTAAGCTTGTCTTACATCTGTATTATGTGTCAAAACTAATTCACACGGCCATTTTTTAATCGCCTCTTGCTTCAAATCTGGTTCGTTTTGAGTAAAATTTCAAAATTATTTGCATTCACAAGTTATTTGACTGTTATTTTGGTCTTCATCCTTTTCATTACATAATTACCGTAACTATAATGCAAATTGCAAACATAAGCACCGGGTAACAGATTATAGCCGATTTTTTCAATGTCGGATTCTTGTGATAACTCTGAAGATGTCACAAGAGTCTTATGATAACTTTTGTTATTGCAAGTGTGTTCTTGCGCTAAATCACGGCAAGTTTTTACGCGTTTTTAATTATGCATTGAGATTGTAAATTCATATGACATGTAGTTACGCTTCATCCTTTGCGCAAAAAAAGATATATACTTTGTTTTGATGGAATTTTAGTTCAAAAAGATATTTTTTCTTCCCCATTGTTTCTTTTTCATAGTATTCTTTTTTGTTGACTTAGATTCGTAGATTTGAAAAATGATTTATGTACTGATTTCCTAGAGTTTTCCAGCCCTAGCAGGTTTCTTGGCCCTTTTTATCATTTCATGCAGATACAGTCTTTTTTCTCAGTACAGCATCTATGTTACTGCATCAATCAGAGAAACATTTGAGCCGCGTCACGACAAAACCAACATAATGGGTTTGCGACCAGCATGGATCCAGACCAGCCTGCGCATCCGCGCAGTCTGATCAGGATCAATGCTGTTCGCTATCAGTTTCTTTACTTGTTATAGGGTTTGTAAGCGAACAGCATGGATCCTGATCAGACTGCGCGGATGCGCAAGCTGGTCTGGATCCATGCTGGTCGCAAACCCATTATGTTGGTTTTGTCGTGACGCGGCTCATTTGTTTTCTACGTAATACAGCAGTTATGATAGTACAGCGATTAATATGTTTCAGAGTTTCTCTGTTGTTTTAAGTTACATTAGAGGACTTGCGACACTTACAAGCAACACCTGGGGAATTATAGTTTGAATGCCCATGCACAATAACTGAAATCCCATTCTAGGTAACAGTTCAATTTTTTTTCGAGAGATTGGTAGTTAGAGCCAACCGCAGTTTGAGTTTTAATCATGTATCGTACTTTTTTTAAGACATAGGTGTGGAAATTATCCTGGTTATCATACTTTTTAATTATGGTATAAAATGATACAAATTAACTTAGCCTTTAGGTAAGGGGAGCATGCCTATATATTGTCTGCTTTAAGAAATGTGTTGCTTAACAACATGTGAAACTGAGAAACGTGTATGTTTTGAAGACATTTTTGTTTTTGTGGTTTTAAGCCATTATACTGGCTGAAAAATCAGTGCTGCTGGTTCAATTTTCTGTAGATGATAGTCTATCACCTATTTATCCTTTGCAGACACTTGAGACCAACGTTTTATCCACATTTTTTGTGCAAAAGGATTGAATATTACTGCTAGGCATTTCATAATGATTTACAATCTTCATTGAATGATAATAAACGCCAAAACGTGCCTTGAATTAAGCCAAGAAACCACTAGCAATACAAAAGTTATCAATAAGAACTCTGTGACAATCTTCAGAGTTAATCACAAGAAACTCCGGGACATTTGAAAAATCGGCTATTAGACATCTGTAGCCGGTGCTTTTATGTTTGCAATTTTGCATCATATATAGGTAATTATGTATGGAAAGGAATGAAGGCCCACAAAAACGGTCAAAACTTGTTGAATTGGCAAGTAATTTGGAAATTTTTTACTCAAAACTACTAGATTTGAAGCAAAAGGCGATGAAAATTAGCTGTGAATTAGTTTTTGACACATAATACAAGATGTAAGACAAGCTTATATCATTAAAGTTTAATTTAGCACCTAAAAACAATTTTGGAAAGATGAAAATAACCATTTTTGACGAGTGTTTTTGTAGTATATACAGATGTTTTCCGACGAACTCCGTGACAGTTATCACAAGAACTCCTGAACAAGTTATCATAAGAACTCCATCCTTCGTGTAACACTTCCTCCCCCGTGCACCGCTTCCGTTTTTTTCTCGGAATAGCCTACTCGGCGATTATTATTTATCCGAAAATTTGCGATTGTCCGTTATCGGAATATCCCGCCTATTATTTTTGAATTATATTGAAAATGGCACCGCCCGACTAGAACTGACACTGAAATTTTCATTGATAGATATAGAATTCTATGTATTCTTTAATTGCTTTTTTATTTGAGTTTCTTTTAAATATACACATGTAGTCTATAACCGCATTAGCCGGGCAAGGCTTCGCGGACCCGGCCTTTGACTTCCCCGTATGATTATAATTATTATTTTTTATTATTATAAATATTATTATTATTATCATTATTACTATAATTATTATTATTATTATTTTATTACATGCTTTTCGGTGGTTTATAGAAATATATCAGTGATATAAAACTGGTAATTTCACTGTTTGAAACAGTGAAATTACCACTTTGATAATTTCACTGTTTTGAATTTAAGCCCCTTACGTTGTTTAAGTGAAAAACCAGCGTGCACAGTTCTGGGTACCAACTTAATGACGTGATGACGTAAATGGCGTCACGTGGTATTATATATTTGGCGCGCTTTTCATTCAGTATTAGATTAAATGTCTTTTTTAAACGTTTCTTTGCATGTAATAAAAGAAAATTTGTTAAATTTAGTGTAAGATCGAAATATATTTCACCTTGTGAACACCAAATGTTCATATTTCACTCGTAGCTGCGCCACTCGTGAAATATACCTTTTGGTGCTCACTCGGTGAAATAATTATATTCCGATCTTACACTGAACTAAACAAATATCCTCTATATATTATTATTATTATTATTATTATTATTATTATTTTTATTAAATTAGGTGCTACCTATGGCGCCGAAAGCTCTTATGAATTATAAGTTTAGCATATAACATGTTTAGTGTTCAATGTAAACCAGATCTTTCTTTGCTGGTATTTTGTACCGTGAACAAAACCATAGGTAGCATCTAATTTCATATTATTATTATTATTAGTAGTAGTAGTAGTAGTAGTAGTAGTAGTATTTCTCTTTAGCTTTTTAGTCTTTAGCTTATTTTCTGCCTTCACAAAATGAAAATGACAACACATGTTATCTAAGTCGTAAACAAAACCATAGGATCGCAACTACTCGGTCCGTCCCGTCAGTCTTCGGATAAGGTTATTACAGATGATAGCCGAGGCAGTTAAGAATGCTCTGGAACAGGACCACATATTGCAACGCATAAATCCGAATCCGTACTGGCTTCACATATTGTTTGTCCGATTTTCATATTATGCGAGTGGGTGGTCTTTAATTATATAATCTTAATTTAATCTGCTATCAGTCAAATTTACGGTATATTGAAAAAGAACTTGTTTTAAATTTGACCAGTTATAAAAGTAACAGATTGGATTCAATTGATAATTTATATTTTTGAGGCCATATACTCGGATAATACTAAAAGATATTTAGATGTAGCTGAAACGTTTTTCACGATTGAAAATATGCGCCGCAGTCTGCGGTCCCGTCCTCGAGTTCCTATGAACAAAACTTAAAAGAAATAAATATAACAGGTTAGATTTACTATATTAAATGTATCAACCGACATATCGCACAAAATTCCAGTCTTATACATAATACAAATTTATATATTAATTAAACTTTCAGCCTTGAAGAATACTCTGGTTTCCCGTCCGGTGATCTGCTGGTTACCATTTACAACGATGGTAATGTGATATTTGTACCGCCAAGAATTCGAAAGACCGATTGTGTTTTCAGCGAATCGGACTTGTTCGCGCAAAATAGTGTCACGTGTTCTCTGATGTACATGTCATGGGTACACAGTCTAGTCACCTTAGATTTGAGGATTGACAGTCAGCCAGAAGTACTGAACAACGACAACCGGAAATGGGAAGTAGTAGAAACAGCTGCTGAAAGAAATGTCAAAACATATTCATGCTGTCCCGACGAATATGTGGACATCACCTACAAGATCCAATTAAAGCGAATAAAGTAGGGCTTGCTATTGTACTGGACCACTTGGATTATGAAACGTTTATTCTTGGCTCTTTTATGGACTCCCGTTCACTGCTTTGTGAGAAGATTTAACCCTAACTATGCTAAATGACTGAAATGGACTCATCAATCATTCGTCATTTTGAGGGAAAATATCAAAATAAATACTGACTTGCAATCACATCTCCTCGGTCTTTTCTGCCAAATTTCGGATAAGATTATGAATAATAGCCGAGTTTTTCCGATGTACTGACAGCATATTTATTGCAGTGTTCGGATGCCATTATATTTTATAAAGATTTCTAAACAAGCAAATTTGTTGAATTGATATTGTTACAAATAACTTAGACACGGCGTCATTATTCATGGACTTGTATATGAATCAATATCGACTTTGTGTCTTGGAATTAACACAGAAATGGTGTCATTATGAAGCATGGAAGCAATAATATCCGGGTTGAAAGGTGGACACCCATACCACAAGGCTTCCAATCCCGGATACTGATTGTTTAGAGACCAGATATGTATATATGTGATTCTTTAGTGGTTGTCCCGTATATATTTTTAGGTATCAAGATTTTTACAGGATATATGGCCCTATATAAACGGTTGTTTGGAAATATAACCCGAGCCTAAAAATGGAGCAAAGAATACTCTAAAGAGCATAATTTTTCTTGAGCAAAATAAAATTCAAATTGCATATTTTACCTTGACGGTGAGTCATTCAAAGATCAAGGTCACAAATGTATTAATCATAATGTCAGTTTTGTCGTAAATGTTCTTTTTTCAAGAATAAATTAAATCCATGAATTATGCGTAATAACCAAGTAATGACATTATAAGCAAATATCAATATGTTGACCTTGACGATCGTGATCTAATCAAGGTCATATGATATAAACACTGGAAATGTATCGTTTTAATATTCTTATATAATATTTCTTAAACGAAAAATGTTGATAAAGTTTCAAGTAATTTATGATGAACATTTATGTGGTGGGAAAAAATTATTCTACAGATATGTCTTATTTATGGTGACTGATTTGGTACACTTTGCGCGGTGCGTTGTCGAAAGCGACAATACAATTTATATCGTTATCGCCTTTTCGTCTTGTCGCTAGCGAAACACGCCAAACTGCGAGTTGTCGCATTGTTGTCTTGTCGCTAGCGGAGCACGTCAAACGGTGCGTTGTCGTGCGGCATGTTGTCGCGATGTCGCCCTGAAGCTTGGCTTATATATATACAAATAGCCAATCCTTCGATTCGAGCCGAGCGACAATGTGACATCGCGAAAACACGACAACGCGCCGTTTGGTGTGCTTTGTAAGCGTCATGACGACAGTGCGACAACGCGCCGTTTAGTGATTTGTCGTGCTGTCGCTAGCGACAACACCACGCACAAAAGTGTTCCAAATCAACCACCATACTTATTAGATTATGAATCTCACACCAACAATATCCATGTGTAATCTCTTTCCCAATTTATTGTCACGTATAATAAAATAGAATACTGTCAGGCATAATTATTTATAGTTTTACAGACCTTCTTTTATGGTACAATTAACTTTGTATAGTATTGTAGAGTAAAGGTCACTGTGGTGCTGGAATCGTAAAACTTTTTTGAAATTCGTCACTCTAACGCTAGCTGTATTATACATGTATATAAATATCTAAGGCAAAGTGTATGTAAGTGAGAACTAAAATATCAATTAATAATCTTTCAAATTAAAAAATCGTCTTCCGTTCATACTTTGTTTTCTTCGATTTTTGTAACTGAAATCCATTAAAATTCTAAGACATTTTTTTCAAATCCACAGCGGACCAAGCGTGTCCGCCAGATATTAAAATTGTACATTGTTTTAAACATGCACACGCATTTGCAGGAAGAACATTTGTAACTCTGACAAAAATTGTACCTTTATTATTACAAAATTTTACAAATCTCAAATCAAAACAATAATATTACATACAACAAAACAATACAAATTACCCATAAATCTCTCAAATTTGCCAAATTAACAACAACAACTAAAACAAAAACAACATTTTTTTAAAAACCCTTTAAGTTCGTAGAAGAAAGAAATGAACAGATTGATGTACTATTTGTAACTATACATATGTTATATCACAGAGCAGATTGTATCCAAATTTTATTGTAATGTTTTGTTTTTGCAAAATAAATACAATGAAAAACATACAGTTTTTTTTGTAAACAGACACGCACGCACGCACACACAACACACACGCACGCACGCACGCACACACACACACACACGCGCGCGCACACACGCGCACACACACACACACACACACACAGACACAGGCTCTACAACAGCATGCATGGCAAATATCTATAAATAAATATCGAGGAAAAAACTGGGAATAAAATCTGTGATTTTAGGGCTATTTGTGACAGAACTTTGGTCCCATTGCTCATATGAAAAAAAGTTTTATATTTTCTTCACTGGTACAATAATTTCTAAATAATTTTGTTCAAATTAAGGAAACCGGCTTTTTGCCGAACAAGACATTTTTCCCGAAAACGCGGAAGAAAATCACCGAAATAAAGAAAAAGAAGTCTAGAAATAAGATCAAAATATAGTATGTTTGATGTAAAGGTAGGAGGCATTACATATAAGATGAAACTTAATCATGGAAAAATAAACAAATTAATTATAAATGACGAAAACCTAGATATAGGTTTAAAATACTAGGAAAATATATGAACTTTTGAGACTAGGTACGCGAGAGAGCCAGAACTGTCAAGAATATTAGTTCACCAATGTTCACGTATAAAATAACTTTTTGTGTCAGCCCTCGTCTGTATATAGCTCCTCCGGTGTGTCCACGATATTCTTGTCAATGTGAACATAATACACAATTAAAAATGCAACTACCACTAAAGCGACAGCGATTCCCACAATGCTTAACCATTTTGAGACGTTCCCCCACAGTTCGGCATCTTTGAGATTCCCCTTTCTCCCGCTTCTTTTTGAAAGTAAGGAGAATATGATTGCAATTGCACCGAAAGGAAAATTACAGCACAGCGTCACCTGAAATAAAAGAAATGTTTGAATTTTAGAAATAATACGTACGTGAACTCAAAGTATACAGTGGTATTTTGGGTTCATTTGCCCTCCTATATCCACGTTTCTTCTCGCATGCAGGTGCCCTAGAATAAAAGTTAAAATACATCCGCGCAACACTATAGTGCGGGACCAATTGAATAAACCAGAAAAGAAAGTTCTTCAAATTGAATGGTTCGAAATAGGGCGTGTTTCTAGAATTGAACATATGATTACACATGATAAAATCCCATTTTTATAGTCTTCGAAATAAGAAACTTCATAAAAATATAGGCTAGACCGAAAATGTTGCTAAATCGTAACGAATTACTAGATCTATATACTTGCATATTTTTGGTTAGAAGAAGGTGGAGGAATATATCAGACTGTACCTGTTACCTACAAGAAGCGGAAATGGAAATTGGTATACGTGCAATCTATAACCCATATACAATAAGAGAAAATGAAGAAGAAAAAAATTGCCAATTGGAAGGACGTCTTCACCGTGTTCTACTTAATTAAGCCGGTGCTGGGGAGCGTGGACGGTAGCATGAAAATACAACTTCCTTCCATGAACTGGCTCAATCAATCCCAGCATGCAACATTTACGGATTCTGTTTTTCTCTATTCCCAGTGCTATTTCAATATATTTCCAAGTCAGAAAGTCAGCTTTATTATATATTATATTCAAATCCTACTGTAAATTATCCTCTTGTATATCCCAGCAATTGATATAGCAAACTTTAATATTGATCGTTTAAAACATATTAAGATTAAGTTTTACTTTAAATGACTGCTGTGCCAATAGAATATCTATTAAACGCCATTAAAAGACCATATCCAAAGCAAAAATGGATTTCTCTTTCAATTTCCATTTAAGAACAAACAGTACATTCGGTAATCGATAGAAGAATTAACTAAGTTCTGGAGGTATTATTGCCAGCGGATGGCAAATCGGTCTGAAAGAATTTGAGCATCAGCATTGAATTGCTAACAAATTGCCCTCGGTGTGTTAGTTCTGATAATTTGTTGCGTTGTATTATTTGTGCGCATGATGGGTTTCAGTGTTCAATTTTAGTGTCAGTTGATACAGGGGCAGCCTCTGAATTGGCGATTATACTTTCTATTCTCTAAAAAAATGTCTGAGACTGAGATGAAAGCATTGGTGGTGAACTTATTAAAACAATGTTGAAAACCAAATAACAAATTCCAAATAACTAATATACATGTATTATAGCCGTTCAATACAACAAGTTCAAAGTTCGCCTTTCATTTTCTGTGTCGAATTAGAAACAACACCTGGGGTCTTCCTCCACGAAGTATAGGTTAAAGTTTACGCGCGACCAATTTATTTTTGTACATGCGTATTAATAAATTTTAACTGGCTTAGTGTTTGAAATTATTTTTTGGCTGCGCCGCGCATGACCAATTTAATTTTGTAAATGCGTACTAATAAACTTTAACCTATACTGGAAAGTCGCTTTATGACATCTACTGTGTTTGTGCAACGTAAAAACAAAAATAGAATAATTGAAATGAAATAAAATTAAAAGAATAAAACGAAATAAAATTAAATAAAAAAAATAAAACGAAATAAAATAACACAAAATAAATAAATAAACGAATAAAAAATAAATAAAGTGACGCTAGTTGTATTTATCATTGCATTACGCTATATACATTTTAATTGCTGCATTTATCTCCATAACTGGAGCGCACTGTTTTATAGCGTTAATTTATTTGTTGATAACATTTGTTTCGTAATGAAATTGTTCGCGTTAGTATTGATTTTACGAAACTTGCAATTAACCTCATTCACCATCAGATTGTTTTATGGTGTGAATTCTTGTGGGTTTGATATGAAACAACGATATTTATGTCTCATTTTGAACGCCATAACCCTGTTCCGAAGTTTGACGTAAAGAGCCGATTGTATTTACCCATACTTCTAAACCAATCGTATCTTCTCGGCCCTTTCCGTCAAACTCCAGATAAGGACTATGAATAAGTATTATTGATAACCGAGAAGTTCTGATTGCTTTTAAACACCTTTGTATGAATTAATCAACTATCCTTGACAAATATTATACAGCCACATGATATTACGTAATCACACTAACAAACCTGTTGTCACATGACTACAATAATCAAAAAAACAACATGTTGCGTGCCATAGTCTTGCTACATGTATTAAATTTCTAAATTATCTCAGGAAGTAATGGGATTTTTTAAAAAACAAAAGCTGGCACCGAGCGGGGCCCAACCCGACTTTTTGTATTCCCATAGGAAAAAGAACATTGTATTGAATGTTAAAAAAAATATTGTGTATAGAAAAGACTGACCTTCACATTTAAGGATATTGACATATTAAGGTACGTCATACTTGAATTATCAAACAGGTCGATGTTTAAGGTTATTATTATTTTTTGAAAATATTAATCAAAAGTGTCCATTAACACAAAGTTCTGGCAATTTGAGCAAAATTTAACAACTTGGCCATGATGTTCAAGGTCACTTGATTAAAGTTTAATTTATAAATAATTCAACATGTCGGTGTGGCAAGAAGTGTTGTTTGGTCAAAGTATGAATCAAACCCTTACATAAATAACAAAGTAATGAAAACTGTAGCAAAATTCAATAATTTGACCTTGATGGTTAGGGTCACTTTAAGGTCAATGTATCAAGGCCAAATTCAGGTCAATGTCAAGTTTCATCTAACAATCTTTAAGGCCATGTACTGGGATATTGTCACGATCGTAATGTCGTGCTTTGCTATCGTATTATTGTGTTGTCACGATCGTACTGTCGTGCATTGCTATCGTACTGTTGTATTGTCACGATCGTACTGTCGTGCTTTGCTATCGTATTGTTGTATTGTCACGATCGTACTGTCGTGCTTTTGTATTGTCACGATCGTACTGTCGTGCTTTGTTATCGTACTGCTGTATTGTCACGATCGTACTGTCGTGCTTGGCTATCGTATTATTGTATTGTCAGAATCGTACTGTCGTGCTTGGCTATCGTACTATTGTATTGTCACGATCGTACTGCTGCGCTTTGCGATTTTCAGAGAAAACGCATCGACCCTTACGAAACACCATAATTATATAATTCCGAAAGAGGTAGCTCTGTTGTTTATCAGTCGTGTTATAATATGACAGATGTGTTCAAAACGTTTCTCTTTTTTGTACAAATAGAAACATGTACAGTTTGTTGTACTGACAGAATAAAAAAAATATATACATGTATCTAAAAATAAAGTTCAACTTTTGAATTTATCTTGAGAGGTTTTAACGCAGTCCATTTTTGAGACATTTTGCACAGTTCTAAAAGAAACGGAGACAGCGAATGGTCTTAAAATTTCCACAAAGTTATTTATTCAAACCTACATCAAATGGTACACTCGTATAAAAATTAATATTCCCAGAAAAAGAACGCAATGGAGTGCTTTTAAAACGTGTATGTCACGATTAAGAAAACCTGAAGATAAGACCCATTTCGTTGAAATTAGAAAATAAATTTTTTATACATTAAGAACTGTCAAACGCAGAAATTGTCTCTGGTGTGTTGAGACAATTGAGTCAAAGCTCAGCAATAACAACTTTATAAGAAATTAACTTGCAAGTAAATAATATATTTACCGTCAGTTACAAAAATATATTAGATCTATTTTTTTAACGAATCGACACGTGAGTGAGATATTTCCTACTTTAAATTTTAAATAAGTTAATAGGACCGAAGAGGTTCAAAACCGCCATTCCATCTATCTTTATAACAAATAAATAACTTACAATTAAGGCAAAGTAGAAATAATGTGGAGGCCTTGAAGCACGGTTATGGGGTATCGCCTTTCCATCTATAGACGCTGTTTTTCTTAGAAGTTTCTCATGTCCAGAGTCCTCCCCAGAATGTTTGTTTATCACAGAATCTCCTGTCGAGCTCGCAAAATCTTCGGTGATTGTCACGTGACAGACCTCTTCATTAGCACCGGAAGTCACGTTGTCTCCGTCGCCGACAGCCATTTTTTATGAACGGTGTCTAAATAAAACAACAAGGGCAGAACTGAATTCATTATATAATAATCTAAAAAGCATGTCTCAGATTAGTTCGAGTGTTTTCGAAGAGACATGGAGATATAGATCGCAATATCTCGAATAACGATCATCCTACAACTCTCACTTAACCAAACAGTAACCCGACACCCAGTATTGATGTGAAAGAATGCAGTAACGCACGCACGTTTTCTTTTTCTTCATTATTCATCATTATTCATTAAGAATGACAGGATTATAACGATCATAATGATAACATAATATCGAAGCCATGGTTACACATAACAATAATATCATATCATATATTCATCATTACCATAGCGATAACATCATTCCATAACCATCGTTACCATAGCGATAACATCACATCATAACCATCGTCTTCATTGCGATCATATCATGAACATAGTTACTATAGCGAAAACATGACATCTTAACCACCGTTATCATAGCGATAACATTTTATATGTTACCATAGGAATAAGTTTATACTATAACCATCGTTACCATAGAAATAATTTGTTTGTTTGTTTGTTTTGGGTTTTACGTCACATCGACACAGTATAGGACAAAATTATCGCGACGTTCCAGCTATACTGGTGGTGGAAGACCTCAGGTGCCCTTCCGTGCGTTATTTCAGGCACGAATGGGCACCTGAGTAGAACCACCGACGTTCCGTAAGCTAGCTGGATAGCTTCTCCACATGAAAGAATCTAAAGTCCCTGTCGGGATTCGAACCCACAGCGGTGAGGGGCAAGTGGTTTGAAGTCATAGCGATTACATCATACCATAACCATCGTTACCATAGCAATAACATCATATCATAACCATCGTTACTATAGCAATAACATCATATCATTACCATCGTTACCATAGCAATAACATCATATCATTACCATCGTTACCATAGCAATAACATCATATCATAACCATCGTTGCCATAGCAATAACATTATATCATTACCATAGCAATAACATCATATCATAACCATCGTTACCATAGCAATAACATCATATCATAACCATCGTTGCCATAGCAATAACATTATATCATTACCATCGTTACCATAGCAATAACATCATATCATAACCATCGTTACCATAGCAATAACATCATATCATAACAATCGTTACCATAGCAATAACATCATATCATAACAATCGTTACCATAGCAATAACATCATATCATAACCATCGTTACCATAACAATAACATCATATCATTACCATAGCGAAAATATCATATCATACATTTGTAACCATCGTTTCTATATATAATCATATCATATTATGAACCATCGGTACCATAGCGAAAACAGCGATAACATGATATTAAAACCATCGTTATAGCGTTCATACCATTAACCATCGGTACCATAGCGAAAACATGACATCAAAACCATCGTTATAGCGTTCATAATATTAACAATCGGTACCATAACTATAACATGATATCATAACCATCCTTATAGCGATCGTATCATTTAGCATAGTAACTATGGTGATTAGAAATGATAACGTGGTCATAGTCTCCAATAATCAATTGAAATATGACCATAATTTGATAAAAATACATGTATAAATACTGCCATGAAAAGCAATCATAATCAGTACAACACATTGTTGACAAAAATATATATAAATAGACTTACCGTGTTATGACATTTCCATAATGTCTAATAATAATTCTTATTCTAATAAAAAATCACTGTCATTCTCTGTAAACGCTGTTTTGGTTATTGTAACTCTTGTAATGTTTCTGCTACAACAGACGATCATAGACGCTGAATATTGGAATTTTAATTATCTGGCTTGCCCATCTCATAGCAGACGTAGAATGTTGTCCGCTGTCTCGTTAAAGAGACATAAATGAAATCGATATGAAATTTAGAATTTTTCCTTCATAGTTTACATTATATTAACAAGCAAATGACCTATTATATAAGAGATATGATTGGTCACGTAATTTGTCGTCTGCTTTTCATACGTATATCGATGTTTGTAGGAAAATAACCGAGTGTCTCCGAAACCGTTAGAACAGTAACTGTTAATTTCCTATTTCCATGGAGATATACCGATTTTCTGGAATTGATCACAGTTTTGTTGTAGATGAATTAGAACTTTGGTTATCATAAGAAAACGACATATATGCTATCGATTACCTATAAAATAGTTTAAGAATGCAATTACCCTGAAACAAGAAATGATGACATACATTCATTTGTCATTTTAGTGCAATTGCAATAACTATTGTGTGCTAATTATAGGTATATAAAAGAAACTTTCCGAATATGAAAATTAGAATAATTTATTATATGCAACTACCAAAACTGTAATAATTATGGCAGCATATTAATGTTAAACAAATATAGGACAATTCTTATTGACTAAAACTGTGATATGATAAATAATTAAATATACATTTTGTGTGGGGTGTGTGGTCGGTTGGGGGGAGCTGGGGTAGGGCTAGACTTATTAATGTTTTGGCATCACTAGTTGCAACTAAATAACTGAAACTATGCCAAAATCATTTCACAACATACTACGGTGATAATGAAAATAATCCATAAATCCATTTTTATTTGTTTGGGTCGTCAGACCAAACAAATAATGGTAGCGAAATTTCAGAGCCTAATGCTGTTAATTGCAAATGCCTAAAGTAGTCCACTTTTTTGAAGCAGTTACTTCCCTTTATATGTACACTAACGCCGAAAAATTCAGGGGAGATCAATGCGTAAATATTGTCAAATGACAGGCGCATTAATTTTCAAGCAAAGTAGTTCCCGAATGGTCGAAGATTTCTAATATTGTTTCATTCTTTATAGATATACATGCTTACAGTAAGCTCCATGATTATTTACATCTGTGTTAAACAACAGGTTTAGCGTCGAAATAATGAGAGTTACAAACCCTAATTTAGAATAATATGGTATTCTTAAGGCCGTTAACATATAACTTCACCGTGACAGAGGGGTTTGCACGCTCGCTTCTGTATCGAGAGGTCTGGAGTTCAAATTTTAAGTTCATTTTTTTAAGTCAAATAAACATTGAATTGACTATCAGTGTTGCAATTAGTCTTATAGCCAATTTACTACAGTTAAAACACTGGAAAGCATTGGTGGCACTATACAAAAACAAATTGGTTTATAATCTCACAACCTTCACCTTTCTGACATTCTGAGACCCAAACAAATTCAGCGCCTTCTGTGCTTTGATTATATTTGCGTTACTCCCAAACTGAAAAATTTATTTTTTTACACTTTATGAAACGTAATGATATGGTCTTTGAGCTTTAAACATAAAGATTATAATGTAGAAATTTACGTGCAATATAAAACTCTACACAAAAAATGCAATCTTGCACAACAATAGACTCAACTTTTAAAAATACTAGCGTTCCGCCTATGCGCAAACTTTATACATGTTTGTTAAATCTTTACCACTTTCTATGATTTGCAGACAAAATTTAAAAACATATTGTGGAAGTACTAGCATGAGAACAGGAGAGTTCGTACAGAAATGGGAAAAGAAAACAAGTAAAATATTATACAATATGAATAAATATCCAGAAAAAAACACGTTTTTTTACACATTTAACTTTATTATGATTAAATAACGAGTATATCATATATGTGTGAACTAAACATTTTTTTCAATAAATATGTTACGCAATGTATCTCACTTTACATTTAACAATATCCGTTCCTTATCTTACTTTTTTCACATTCTCCCGTGGACATTCAAGTTACATAATAGCATATATACATGTATCATAGAGGTTCAATACAGTAAGTTCAATGTTCGCTTTTCGTTCTCGTGTCATATTAGAACCAACACCTGAGGTCTTTTTTCACCAGTAAATCTGGAAAACGGCCATACTTTATGGCCTCTACTGCGTTGGTGCGACGTAATAGCAAAAAATAAAACAGAATAAAATTAATTGATTATTTAAATAATTAATTAATTAATTAATTAACGACAGTGCGGGCACTGTCGTGGTGATTGTGTGCAGGAAGACACATTCATGCAAGTGGTGCCAGGGTGTTATTGAGCACATTTACTAAATTACTAACATTCACTTCTTAAAAAATGTCCCCATCATCGAAATCCTACAAACAATGAGGTATACTGCATGCCTTTTTCGAACTAACCATCTGAAAATTGCATGAAAGAAGACTGAATTGCACCCAATAATTTTCACAATTCAGATTAGCCCTCCAGTTTTTCGCAAAAGTTCCTGTTGCCAGTGATGGGCATTTAATTATAATAACATGGTTTGTCACCATACCACGGATAGCAGCACCCTTGAATGTTTCATAATCCTATCAAATTTCAAGGTTATAGCTTGAACAAAACAGGGGTTTTCATTTTGTGGTTATAGCAGGCACTTTTATGCAAATCAATGCAGAAAACAAATATTGTCATAAGACAAAATTTACCAAAAAATAAACATTAGATTACATAATAATTAGGTTGTTCACTAATATCCTGCAAGTTATGTACATGTACATAAATGCTGAAGTTTTATCACAGATCTTGAAGAATTGTCTCAAAATATTAATCCTTGGCATATCAAAACCGCTTGATTTGCTGAAGTTATACATAAATCAATTATAGATATCTAGAAGCTCTACTACCAAACTGAGATTTGTAAATTAGAACAGGTTTAATTCGAAATAACCCGCGGAAATTGTATACTGCCTCCATAATTAAACATGAACTTACCCAAACTACTTTAACAATTCTCCTTATTTCACACATTAGAAACAGCAGCCTAAGAGTAAGGGCACCTACACGAGCCACTTTATCCAGTTCTGCAAATTCAGGCGAAAATTCCTTTTCGACATATATATATATATCATATATATTAATATGAAATAGACTGGCAACCTTTTTGCACAAGCTTGACTGTATTGTCTAAGGCAAGGTGGTTCGGTAGCAACCGGATTCTGGCCATCCCGAACCGGATCCTGGCTTACCGGATGAGGCACAAGTGTTCCGGTAGATCCACAACCCTCTGGCTAGCTTCATGGACGTCTACTGCGATATTTCAGTATAGTCTAGAGCTTCATTTTGCTACCGAAATACCGCGTTCTTGTGTTAAAACTGCAAGTACTGCTGTAAACATTAAATGGAAATATATATATGTATGTACTAAATCTCAAACATAATATAAAATTAGAAACCTAAATACAATTTTGAATTTGTAAACGAACCTGTGTATTCACAACAGTGGAGTTATGGAATTATACATGATCCAAAACTTAAAATCACAATATAGGTTTAAAATAGAAATAAAATATATATTTAAATAATTAATTGTTTGATATCAATTATAAACTGCTGACCATGCCTTTCCTACCGTATTGAAGCCCATATGTCTTTCTTTATCATGAGCATGAGTTTTCTGCCAAACTTTTGACTAGAACTTTGCATGTAAGCTCTATCAGGCTTATGTTTCAAAAACCCAAGCACAAACTCTTCAATTCAAACGGAGGTCTGTCAAGTGTGGTGTATTCATTCAAGACTTCAAAGTAGATAAACTTTCCATAGTAACGTTAATAAAGCATGATTTTTCGCGCGTTTATTTATAAAGGAAAGCCAGAATTATCAAGGGGAGACTAACGTAAGAAGTTTAAAATAAGTTCCTCTAAGAGTTGTTTCCCATTATTTACGCGTCTTGCAATAAATTATTAGATATTTATTATCATTTTAAGGTCATGTTTGTCAGATAGAAAAATAAGGTTGTAAACAAATTAAGAACATGTATATTGACTAAGCAGTTAGCTCTCTGCTATTCATTCAATGAAAGGCATAATGGCGTCACGACAATAAATTTGCATGTGACTAATAATATCTGTCATATTTTGCGGTTCGGATCGGAATATCCGTCCCGAGGTGACCCGCCCATTGGGCGGTAACGAGGCTTGCCGAGTTACCGCCCATGGGCGGGTGACCGAGGGATGGATATTCCGATTCGAACCGCAAACATATGTCAGATATTTTTTCTTGCATATTCTACCATATTCCATTATATTTTAAATTCTTTATCTTCATTTTCAATGAAAATTTATATCATTACAACCGTAACTACTTTCATTCAACAGCGTATGAATTACAAAATCATTCATAACGGTAAAATAACGTCATCTTTATCGTGCCATTGTACAGCACGCGACTCATCTGGAACCCCCCATGCCAGATGAAATTTCCGGCATGGGTAAAACTAACGGAAACGCCGGTCTGATATGCAAGAAATGTGTTTGTGACACGGACAGTCCGTGGTTTGTGAGTGGTATCTTAACCCTGTTGAAACTTTTCACATATCTGTATAATTTGACATAGGGTGTTTCTCTACATAGGTTGTACAGTACTGTATGTATAAAACAATTGGAGAAACCGGAAAAATGTTCAAGTACACGTATTAGACTTGAGCCTGGACTTCCCTTGTGACTGACAAACGAGAATAGAGTCTGAAGATGTGCATCTGTATTAATATTTCCGACAAATTCAATGTCCACCATGTCCATCATCCTGGTCTCGTAAAAACATATCGCAATCTGATTATTCAATCTATTAGGATACTAATGATTGCGTTTTTACAAAGCCAAAGAAGGAAAATTTAAACTAGCGCAGACAATTTTCTTTACTTTTGCATGAATAAAGAGAATCATTATTGAAACAAATTGATATGTTTTTTAATTATTATCATTTAAAAAAAATTGGGGAGGTTATCATCCTACTTTTGATTTATTTGCCCCTAAAGTGAGTTTTTGCACTTTCAGATCACTTTAAAGAACAGATAACTCGAAATCAAATATACCGTAAATTAATTGTATTGACTTCATTTTCAGTCCTTTTTAAAGTTTAAAACACTTTTTGTATCATAAACAACTTTATTACAATCATAAAAGTCACGTTGGCCTACAGAAAATGGCATAGAAATGGAAATAAAACTTATTTGAGTAAAATATATTAGATGAAACATGAAACAATGTTTG